AGCATGGACACGGGGGTCGTCCCACAGTTACTAAAAACAACAGACATAGCCCCACTCCACAAAGGGGGCAGTAAAGCAACAGCAAAGAACTACAGACCGATAGCACTAACATCCCATATCATAAAAATCTTTGAAAGGGTCCTAAGAAGCAAGATCACCACCCATCTAGAAACCCATGAGTTACACAACCCAGGGCAACATGGGTTTAGAACTGGTCGCTCCTGTCTGTCTCAACTATTGGATCACTACGACAAGGTCCTAAATGCACTAGAAGATAAAAAGAATGCAGATGTAATATGTACAGACTTTGCAAAAGCCTTCGACACGTGTGACCATGGCGTAATAGCACACAAAATGCATGCTAAAGGAATAACAGGAAAAGTCGGTCGATGGATCTATAATTTCCTCACTAACAGAACACAGAGAGTAGTCGTCAACAGAGTAAAGTCCGAGGCAGCTACGGTGAAAAGCTCTGTTCCACAAGGCACAGTACTCGCTCCCATCTTGTTCCTCATCCTCATATCCGACATAGACAAGGATGTCAGCCACAGCACCGTGTCTTCCTTTGCAGATGACACCCGAATCTGCATGACAGTGTCTTCCATTGCAGACACTGCAAAGCTCCAGGCGGACATCAACCGAATCTTTCAGTGGGCTGCAGAAAACAATATGAAGTTCAACGATGAGAAATTTCAATTACTCAGATATGGTAAACACGAGGAAATTAAATCTTCATCAGAGTACAAAACAAATTCTGGCCACAAAATAGAGCGAAACACCAACGTCAAAGACCTGGGAGTGATCATGTCGGAGGATCTCACCTTCAAGGACCATAACATTGTATCAATCGCATCTGCTAGAAAAATGACGGGATGGATAATGAGAACCTTCAAAACTAGGGAGGCCAAGCCCATGATGACACTCTTCAGGTCACTTGTTCTATCTAGGCTGGAATATTGCTGCATACTAACAGCACCTTTTAAGGCAGGTGAAATTGCTGACCTAGAAAATGTACAGAGAACCTTCACGGCGTGCATAACGGAGATAAAACACCTCAATTACTGGGAGCGCTTGAGGTTCCTAAAACTGTATTCCCTGGAATGCAGGCGGGAAAGATACATGATTATATACACCTGGAAAATCCTAGAGGGACTAGTACCGAACTTGCACACGAAAATCACTCACTACGAAAGCAAAAGACTTGGCAGACGATGCAACATCCCCCCAATGAAAAGCAGGGGTGTCACTAGCACGTTAAGAGACCATACAATAAGTGTCAGGGGCCCGAGACTGTTCAACTGCCTCCCAGCATACATAAGGGGGATTACCAACAGACCCCTGGCAGTCTTCAAGCTGGCACTGGACAAGCACCTAAAGTCGGTTCCTGACCAGTCGGGCTGTGGCTCGTACGTTGGTTTGCGTGCAGCCAGCAGCAACAGCCTGGTTGATCAGGCTCTGATCCACCAGGAGGCCTGGTCAAAGACCGGGCCGCGGGGGCGTTGACCCCCGGAACTCTCTCCAGGTAAACTCCAGGTAAACACCACCAGCCAGGCACACAGAGACAAATGGCTCTCTACAACCTCTCCAAGTATTGGGTTGAGCATTTACTGTAAATGTTATGGTTTTGAACCCGTGGAATCACCTGCTGAGCCCTGTGATAATGACAAGGAGCTTTATATATATCAGCATCCTGAAGGGTTGAAGGGTCTTCACCTGCTTTATTGTCAGGGAGGTCAGTGTTAACGTTGGAAGCTCTGAATGGGTATTTGTTCTTAGAGCTTGTGCTGTATTTGTATTTTGGATGTGTGGGTCACATTCTGGGGACAAAACTGACCGAGGTTGTCCGAAATATGACTCACGAAATCGTAATGACACGATTGCAAACAAACCATACCACGGGCGGGGACAGAACCCGCGATCAGAGAGTCATTACGATTTCGTGAGTCATGTTAATGGCTTTGAGGGGACTTGAGCTAGAGTTCGTCACGGCCACGCTAGCAGGAGATTCGTCTGTAAAAACTTGCATTTGTGGTCACAGTGGTGCCTATGCTAACCTTCCTATGGTGTAGAAATATACCTAGTTGGACGAATCTTATTGTGGCTAGCTGGTCCAGTGGCTAACGCAACGGTCTGGAGTTTTGAGACTGACCGCGGGTTCTAATCCCACCCGTGGTATGGTTTGTCCGAAATACTCTGCGTAACAAGGGGCTTTTTATATAGTATGCTACTAATGTCAGCTAGGTCTGTATAAGTTGTATAATGTTCTTGTAGAAATAAAGACTATTATTATTATTATTAGCCTAAGTACTCCAGTAGCATTTCCCTCTTTTTTGGGGGGAGGGGGGAGTAATTTGGGTTCTAATTTTCAAGTCTTCAATTTTTTTGCAGTGTTTCTTTTGCGGGTGTTGCGGCGGGTGTTTATCGCACTAAAAGGAAGACGGATGATGTTGTCATCTCTAGGGAATACATTTATTGCCCTAATAACTGGTGTTGCTAGGGACTTGTCCCTCGTGGGTGGGACAGACAAACATTGCCAAACAGCAGAAGTTTGTGCCAGGGCCCAGTGATTGATGGGGCATCATTGACTTTCTCCAAGAGGTTAACAAATTCGGAAGCAGCTGCTTTAGGGATGTGTGACAGAGTCCAGGTGGATGTTAGTTTGATAGCATCTATTAAGTCCACTGCAGAGGTGGAGTCTGGGTAACCGTCATCTCTGTCTACTGGGAGGGGCTGTTGATCGTTCCCGATACCTATCACATGCATGGATCATCTGTGGGATACCTGGGAGTTTACCTGGAGAGTTCCGGGGTCAAACGCCCCGCGGCCCGTCTGTGGACGGGCCTCCTGGTGGATCAGAGCCTGATCAACCCGGCTGGTGCTGCTGGCTCACGCAAACCAACTGTTACAAGCCACAGCCCGGCTGATCAGGAATGACTTTAGGTGCTTGTCCAGTTGCCAGCTTGAAGAACTGCCAGGGGTCTGTTGTGTTAATCCCTTAATGTGTGCTGGTAGAGGCAGTTGAATAGTCCTGGGCCCAGACACTATTGTATGGTCTGTAACGTGCTAGTGCAACCCCTGCTTTTCATTGGGGCGATGGTGCATCGTCCTGCCAAGTCTTTTGCTGTAGTACTGAGCCCGTAGTCGATTTTCGATGTGCAAGTTGGGACTAGTCCCTCTAGGATTCCAGTTGTATAAACATGTATCTCTCCCTCCTGCGTTCCAGGGAATACAGGTTTAGGAACCAAGCAGTTGCCACGTGGGCATATATATATATATATATATATATATTATATATATATATATATATATATATATATATATATTTTATATATATATATATATATATATATATGTATGGTGATTCTTCCATTAACAGATATATATATATATATATATATATATATATATATATATATATATATATATATATATATATATATATATATATATATATCTGTCAATGGAAGATCACCAATGGGATCAAGCAACTCCTCCGGTGCGACTGGGAGGTATAGGATTACCTGCAAGGTAGCATTACCTGCAAGGTAGCATTACCTGCAAGGTAGCATTACCTGCAAGGTAGCATTACCTGCAACGCAGCATTACCTGCAAGGTAGCATTACCTGCATTTTTGTCCTCGTGTATAGCTTCCAGTGAACTAGTAAAGGAGATTGTCCCCGAATGTTGGAGAGGTGAGCTGAAGACCCAAGTTCATGGAAGCAGCCACGCCGTGGGATACCCTTGCAGACTTCAAGCAGACCAGCTCCTCCCAAAGAGCACAGTCCCACTGGGACAAATCGATCATGGAAAAATAGCCAGCACAGTTCTCAAGAATGCTTTAGGAAATGACAAAACTCGTCTACTAGCGGTGAAGGCACCACATTCAGATTTCCTTATAACTGTTTCCAGTTCTTAAAGAGTTAGGTGAAAAACTCGTCACAGAAACCAAAGACCACAGAGCGGCCACTTCCTCTTTCAGAGACTCAGTGTTGCGATCCAGAGCGGAAATGCCTGCAGCATTCTGGGTACACGGCCCACCGCCAGGGAGCCGGATGAAGTACATGAGATGAAGGCCCTAAGATGTCATTTATGTTGTTCTCCTTCCCATTGTATTTTTGTTAATGTGCTGTGATGACAGAAGAACCTCCAGCAGCTCGTAATAACAGTGCTAGCGCACTCATCTCACACACTGAGGTCCGTGTTCGATCCCCGGTACGAGTGGTAACATTAAAACGTTTCCTTAAGACACCTGCTGTCCTTGCTTATCTAGCAGTAAAATAGGTACCTGGGTATTAGTTCATTGGTGTAGGTCGCATCCTGGGGACAAAATTGACCTAATTTGCCCGAAATGCTCTGCATAACAAGAGGCTTTCTATATAGTATGTCACTGATGTCAGTTAAGTCTGTATATATTGTACATGTACTTGTAGAAATAAAGATTATCATTATTACTATTATTATAATTATTATTATTATAACATGTGGAACTTGCATCAATAAACTTTTTTCATGAGTTTTTTCCATCTTCTCTAAACGCTCCATTCATCAGTACATTGTATTACATTGAAATATTGTAAAACATTTTTAGCATCGCAAAGGATAACGAATTATTTATTAGTTTTATTTAGAGTGTTATAGAATGTAGTTGTTGCTACATTTTGAAGTTAGAGAGGCTTATTATCTTATATTAAGGTATAATACAAGTACTATGAAGTTTTAACCAGAATGTAAAAAGCTGTCATGTACTTTGTAAAATTCTTGTAGTAAATAGTAGTACGATATAAATAATATGCATGAGAATTATCTCCTGTAAATTGTTCTTCACGCAACCATCTTGCAAGAATATTTTAAACACCTTTCTAAAACTACTCTAATTGTTGTTTTCAATATTGCAAGCAAAACAGACCCATGTGCAATACAATAGGAAAGTGAAAGTATGAAGAAAAAGAATGAAACTCGTCAGTATGATTGTTCCAAAACGCTTCAGATAACATGAGTGGAGGGTGTGTGATGCTCTTTTGTGTGATCCTTCCAGAAGTGCCATCATGTCTCCAACCTGTGACCATGGTCTGGCTGAACAAGAACTAGAACTTCATATTTGTTCGTAATATTAAGGCATAAACTCACATGATAGCAGCATGGGAATATCGGATAAGGAAGCGTTTAGGATCCTTGGCCTTCCTCTAGGTGGGTTGGTTTATATTGGTTTATTGCTGACAGGAGAGCTATCATTCTAGGAAATATTGACCATCAATTCATTCTGATTTGGAAGACCTATTTTAGTTGCAGTCTTGTTGCATATTTTGCATAAATGACATCACGTGTGTCGTATATTTTACATTTTTATTGTTTGTACCAAGAGGAATTTTTTTAATTAGACTTACAAAATCTGTTCGAGTGATCTTCCATTCTTGACACCAATTATTCTCTGCAGTGAATGAACTATTTTTAAATATATTCTTAATGTAACTTTAAAACAAATGTGTGTTAAAATAAAACTTTAGGTCGCCACTTTTATTATTTTTCTTAGCAAAACTTTTGTACAGGATTTTGTCATGTTTATATAAATTTCTCAATAGAGATAGTGATGCTCTAGTGAGGGGCTCTTGTTCTAGGGAAATGGAGTTAGCCCTCCACTTCCTTGTAGAAAACCCAATTGCCTCCCATTCCTTGTTTCCCAAGTGCTGTATGACCCCTATTGGTTTAGCACTTCCTCGTAAATATAACGAGGTAGCGACTTCTGGTGTAGGGCTCTTGATCCAAAGAATTTTAGTTCATCTTCCCTTCCTCAGATCAAACCTAATTACCCCTCACCACTCCCATTCCCCGGGTACTTTTTAACTTGCAGGTCATCGTTTCCTCTTTATTATAATAATTTAATAGGTGGCTCATGGCTCAGTGGTAGTACCTTTGGCTTATAACCAAAGGATACTGGTTTGATTCTGGGTCAGATGGAGATATTGGACAAGTTTCCTTACACTTGTTGCTCCTGTTTACATAATAGTTAATAGTTATCTTGGTGCTAAACAGTTGCTGTGGGTCACATCCTGGGGTAGAGGATCATAGAACCCCAGTGGAAATAAGCAACACAGATTGGCTTTCTTGTGTTATCCTGGGTTATTATCCTGAAGGGTCAGGTAAGTAAGTTTATTTAGATACAGGTATGCATAAGTACAATTATCATAGATAGCAACATAGGTGTAAATTTACCTAGGATAACCCCCAAAAAAGTCATTGATGTATTTCCAATGGATCCTTGGGTTAATCTGAGTAAAGTCTTGTTTATCTGGGCATATGAAGTATCCTCTTCGTCTAGAATGAGAGACCTTTCTTCTCTGGTTTGAATGTATACGCAGTACTCTGATAGGTGTCTATTTCAGTTTATACACAGACTTTATCCTGATAACTATTTCATGATTTAAAGTAATGTTGATTGGTGAGTGTGCAGATAAAATACAGCCTTAATGATGCATATGCAGTCAATGGAATTTGAATGCTAAACTCGGCAAATTAAAAATCTATTCTCTAGGTTCAGGTAAACGAGTCCATTGTGTGTACTGTGTAATTAACTTTTGGCTTATGGAAATCAGTATAATATATATAGTAACTAATTAGGTTAAATTATTGAACTTTGTACTGGTATGTTAGGCTAGATAAGATACTGAGCTAGAGCTCACCATAAAGGTAATAGAAACAAATATTTCATCATCTATCTATGGTTAATAAAGTACTGAGGGTGTCAAACCAGGTAAGAACCAGGAATAATGGATTTAAGTTGGATAAATTTAGATTTAGAAAGGACATAGGTAAGTACTGGTTTTCTAACAGAGTTGTAGATGCGTGGAACAGTCTTCCTAGTGGGGTGATAGAGGCTAGGACCTTGGGTAGCTTTAAGAAGAGACTGGACAAATATATGAGTGGGAGGGGCTGGGTTTGATTGGTGTCATGGGGTACGGGAGTTATTTCTTGGGTAGCTTTAGGTAGATGTCGTTTTGATAAGGACTGCCTCGTATGGGCCAGTAGGCCTTCTGCAGTGTTCCTACATTCTTATGTTCTTATGTTAAGCTGTGAATGAAAAATCAAAAATGGTATACAATACCCACAGGTTGTTAGGTAAGACACATATGCAACAGTTAGACAACTTTATTCCGAAAAGTTTCGCCTACACAGTAGGCTTCTTCAGTCGAATACAGAAATGTAGGCAGGAACAGTAGAGATGTGAAGACGATGTAATCAGTCCATCACCCCTTTAAAATCGTAGAATTTGAGGTTGTCAGTCCCTCGGCCTGGAGAAGTTCAGTTCCATAGTCCGGAATATGGAACTGAACTTCTCCAGGCCGAGGGACTGACAACCTCAAATTCTACGACTTTAAGGGTGATGGACTGATTACATCGTCTTCACATCTCTACTGTTCCTGCCTACTTTCTGTATTCGACTGAAGAAGCCTACTGTGTAGGCGAAACGTTTCGGAATAAAGTTGTCTAACTGTTGCATATGTGTCTTACCTAATAAGCTGTGAATACTGCCCACTGAGGAGCTATGACTTTGGACAGTGGCTTTGGAGGGCATTATCATTTTCACCATAGTTAATTTTGCTTTTATGGCTCACTTTTTTTTCCATATATTGCTTTTTTCAAGTTATGATTTTTTTTTATTGGTGTAGTGTTGGGTTGTGTTCTTATCAGAAAACATTACATGAAAAAATCTTGATGGCAGTGTTTCCATGCAAGAATTTTAAATAGGTTGATGGAATCATAATGAATAACTACCTAACCTAGTGTTACCTAATCAAACCATACTAACAAAATCAATTTATTTGATTTATTTTTCTTAAATACTGGTGAATTAACAGGAGCTTTTGCAATATACAGTGGACCCCCGCATAACGATATTAATCCGTTCATGAGAGCTCAGTTATGCGAAATTATCGTTATGCGGATGAATTTTCCCCATAAGAAATAATGGAAATCAAATTAATCCGTGCAAGACACCCCAAAGTATGAAAAAAAAAAAACATTTTTACCACATGAAATATTAATTTTAATACACACAAACTGAAAAAGGCATGCACAATTACATGACACTTACCTTTATTGAAGATCTGGTGATGATTGATGGGATGGGAGGAGGAGAGAGTCTTAGTGTTTAGAAGGGGAATCCCCTTCCATTAAGACATGAGGTGTCAAGTCCTTTTCTGGGTTACTTCCCTTCTTCTTTTAATGCCACTAGGACCAGTTCAGAGTCACTGGACTTCTGTCGCAACAACATATCTGTCCATAGTGGCCTGTACCTCTCGTTCCTTTATGACTTCCCTAAAGTGTTTCACAACATTGTCAGTGTAATAGTCACCAGCACGGCTTGCAATAGCTGTGTGAGGGTGATTTTCATCCATAAAGGTTTGCACTCTCAGCCACATTGCACAGATTTCCTTAATCTTTGTAGTAGGCAACTTCTTCAATTTCTCTCTCCCCTCCTCCGAACCAGTTTCCTCAGGTCTGGCCTCTTGCTGTTGAAGTTGATCTAGCAGCTCATCAGTGGTTAGTTCTTCATTGTCCTCCTCCACCAACTCTTCCACATCCTCCCCTCTAACCTCCAACCCCAAGGACTTCCCCAATGCCACAATTGATTCCTCAACTGCCATAATCCTCTCAGGGTTAGCCTCAAATCCTTCAAAATCCCTTTGGTCTACACATTCTGGCCACAGTTTCTTCCAAGCAGAGTTCAAGGTCCTCTTAGTCACTCCCTCCCAAGCCTTAACTATAAGGTTTACACAATTGAGGATATTAAAGTGATCTCTCCAAAACTCTCTTAGAGTCAGTTGAGTTTCTGAGGTCACTACAAAGCACCTTTCAAACAGAGCTTTTGTGTGCAGTTTTTTGAAGTTTGCAATAACCTGCTGGTCCATGGGCTGCAGGAGAGGAGTGGTATTAGGAGGCAAAAACTTCAACCTAATGAACCTCATTTCCCCATAAAGTCGCTCTGCCACGTCTGTAGGATGAGCAGGGGCATTGTCTAACACCAGGAGGCACTTAAGGTCTAATTTCTTTTCAGTTAGGTAATCTTTCACATTGGGGGCAAATGCATGGTGTAACCAGTCATAGAAAAAGTCCCTAGTGATCCATGCCTTACTGTTTGCCCTCCACAGCACACACAAATTAGCCTTGAGGATATTCTTTTGCCTGAACGCTCTGGGAGTTTCTGAGTGATACACTAATAAAGGCTTCACTTTGCAATCACCACTAGCATTGGAACACATCAATAGAGTAAGCCTGTCTTTCATAGGCTTATGTCCTGGGAGTGCCTTTTCCTCCTGAGTAATGTAGGTCCTGCTTGGCATTTTCTTCCAAGAGAGGCCTGTTTCATCACAATTAAACACTTGTTCAGGTTTCAGTCCTTCACTGTCTATGTACTCCTTGAATTCCTGCACATATTTTTCAGCTGCTCTGTGGTCCGAACTGGCAGCCTCACCATGCCTTATCACACTATGTATGCCACTACGCTTCTTAAATCTCTCAAACCAACCTTTGCTGGCCTTAAATTCACTCACATCATCACTAGTTGCAGGCATTTTTTTAATTAAATCCTGATGCAACTTCCTAGCCTTTTCACTTATGATCACTGAGAGATGCTATCTCCTGCTATCTGTTTTTCATTTATCCACACCAATAAGAGTCTCTCAACATCTTCCATCACTTGCGATCTCTGTTTCGAAAACACAGTTGAACCTTTGGCAAGAATAGCTTCCTTGATTGCCTTTTTGTTGCCCACAATAGGAGCGATGGTTGACTGGGGTTTATTATACAACCTGGCCAGCTCGGAGACACGCACTCCACTTTCATACTTATCAATGATCTCTTTCTTCATCTCTATAGTAATTCTCACCCTTATTCCTGTAGGGTTGGCACTAGAAGCTTTCTTGGGGCCCATGGTCACTTATTTTGCAGATAAAATCACCAAAAACACTGTAATAATACGAAATGTTCCGATTGTATGCTTGGATGTTACCGCGGAGGCTGGCTGGTAAACAGTGCCACCGGCGGAACATGTGAGGCTGGCTAAGGCCGCACATTAGACGCGTCTCGGACGAACAGCGTTGAGCGGGTTTTTTAGCGGTATGCGAGGCAAAATCTTAGCGATAAAATGTATCGGTATGCGGATTTAATGTTATGTAAGGCCAACGGTATGCGGGGGTCCATTGTATAGTACACGTACTACATTGTTATTTGGTATGGATTTGAAAGATTGTTGATAATTAACAGTTTCTTTTAACTTCCAGGTGTGGATAAGGATGCCATTAATGAAAGATATAAGTTAATGAGTAGTAAACTCTCTGCTAGCAAATCTCTAGATGATAAAAAAGTAAGTTTACAGTTAATATTATGTATCATATAAAAAATATAATTGCTGCCTTTGATAATCGGATGAACAGATAAATACAGTATAAGATAAAAATTGAACAAAAAAGTTCTTACAGATATGAGACTAACAATGTATTCATTTAATACCATCACAGCCTTCATGATGATTTGTATTTTTATTGTGATGATAACATGTATTATTATTATACTTCACCTGAAGATTTGTACCACATCCCTGCCCTTTGATATACCTTATATCTTATCTTTGATATACCTTTGATGAGTTTTGAGTGTCTTACTAGTCTTGGAGCCTGGCCATGAGCCAGGCTCAACTGGTGCTAGCCCAAGAAAAGCATGAAACATTGTTTTGCAAATTTTTGATATACCCTGCACTATTTTATTCTTTGCACCAGAGATATTGTTGTAACCTAATATTACTAAAATTGATGTAATGCTGTATGAAGTACTAAGCCTGAAAGGGACCCACATAAGGAAATTAATATTTTTTACAGCCGTCTTGGCATCAGCTATTTACATTTTGCTACATTCACTCTTATTCAAATTTTTGTCCTTAAGTAGGGTTTGGATTTTGTAATTTCTATGTACAAATTTATTTTATAGTCAATCAAACATAGATTGGGTACTTGGAGATACCTGGATACCAGGAGAGGGTTTTGGGGGTCAACACTCCCGTGGCTCAGTCTGAGACAAGGCCTAGTGGTGGATCAGGGTCTGATCAGTCAGGCTGTTACTGCTGGCCACATGCCAACTGATGTACGAACCACAGCCCGGCTGGTCAGGTGTACTGACTTGAGGTGCCTTTCCATTGCCTTCTTGAAGACAGCCAGGGGTCTATTGGTAATCCCTCTTATGTATGCTGGGAGGCAGTTGAACAGTCTTGGGCCGTTGACACTTATTGTGTTGTCTCTCAGTGTACTCGTGGCACCCCTGCTTTTCATTGGGGGATGTTGCATCTCCTGCTGAGTCTTTTGCTTTCGTAGGGAGTGATTTTCGTGTGCAAGTTCGGTACTAATCCCTCTAGGATTTTTCAAGTGTACATTATCATGCATATCTCTCACCTGCCTTCCAGGGAATGCAAATCAAGGGACTTCAGCCATTCCCAGTACTAATTTAGGTGCCTTATCGTACTTGTGTGTGCTGTAAAAGTTCTTTGTACACTCTCCAGGTCAGCAATTTCGCCTGCCTTGAAGGGGGCAATTAGTGTACAGCAGTTTTCCAGCCTAGAGAGAACAAGTGATTTGAAGAGAATCATCATGGGCTAGGCATCCCTAGTTTTGATGATTCTCATTATCCATCCTATCATTTTCCTAGCAGATGCGGTAGATACATTGTTGTGGTCTTTGAAGGCGAGATCCTCTGACATTATCATTCCCAGGACCTTCACATTACTTTTTCACTCTATTGTATGGCTAGAATTTGTTGTATACCCAGATACAGTTTTAATTTCCCTAAGTTCCAAGGAACACAGATTTAGGGACAGTTGAATTAGTTGAATATTTATCTGGAAACTTCTGTACACAAATGAAGCAGAGAGATATAAGAAGAAACTACTGTTCTCTAGTATAAGGGTGGTAAAAAACTAAAAATCACAATAGGTGGAGTATATCTGGAGAGAGTTTCGGAGGTCAGTGGCCTCATGGTCCAGTCTGTGACCAGGCCTCGTCAGTTACAATGTGAGTGGAACAGAGCCCAAAAGGTTAGAGCAACATTACATTGGAGAATCATTAGTTCTGAGGCAGAGCCAGGAAGCTAGAACTAGATCTCTGTGAAGACTATGAGGTAATTGCTGTATGGAATCAGTTTACACAAGTACTGAAATTGTTGATTTCCACTTGCCATTACTCTTCTCATCATTTTACTACCAATCCTTCAGTGAAAAAAACAGGATGCTAAACAAAGTTAAGGACTTGATAAGGTTCTTGAGAGGGTATTAGGATGTAGGATGCATGACTGATGGGAGAAAAAGGTGTAAAACATTCGACACATATTCTCAGTATTTTCATACGACATGATTTTCTTTGTATTGGTATTTCGGTGAATTGACTTGATGTAATTGATGCCTCTACTTAGTCAGATTTGCAGGGGGGTTAAAAAATTGTTTAACATTGTATATTGTAATGTTATTGATTTGAACAAATATTTTATTTTTACAGAAACTGGAACAGGTGGTTGCTGCTTATAGCCAACTTTTACCACCACCGCATCACAAAATACAGCAGAGTAAACAAAATAATAGGGCATCTAATGCTAAAGGTGACTAACATTTCATTTTTCACATTTAAAAATATTTAACGCAGGTATTATGATTATTATTAGATTATGTATTGGTGGATAAAAGGTTGATGGGTAGGCTCCAGGATGTACATGTTTATAGAGGGGCAACTGATATATCGGATCATTATTTAGTTGTAGCTACAGTTAGAGTAAGAGGTAGATGGGAAAAGAGGAAGGTGGCAACAACAAGTAAGAGAGAGGTGAAAGTGTATAAACTAAGGGAGGAGGAAGTTTGGGTGAGATATAAGCGACTATTGGCAGAAAGGTGGGCTAGTGCAAAGATGAGTAGTGGGGGGGTTGAAGAGGGTTGGAATAGTTTTAAAAATGCAGTATTAGAATGTGGGGCAGAAGTTTGTGGTTATAGGAGGGTGGGGGCAGGAGGAAAGAGGAGTGATTGGTGGAATGATGAAGTAAAGGGTGTGATAAAAGAGAAAAAGGTAGCTTATGAGAGGTTTTTACAAAGCAGAAGTGTTATAAGAAGAGCAGAGTATATGGAGAGTAAAAGAAAGGTAAAGAGAGTGGTGAGAGAGTGCAAAAGGAGAGCAGATGATAGAGTGAGAGAGGCACTGTCAAGAAATTTTAATGAAAATAAGAAAAAATTTTGGAGTGAGTTAAACAAGTTAAGAAATCCTAGGGAAAGTATGGATTTGTCAGTTAAAAACAGAGTAGGGGAGTTGGGAGATGGAGGTATTAGGTAGACGGTGAGAATATTTTGAGGAACTTTTAAATGTTAAGGAAGAAACAGAGGCAGTAATTTCATGCACTGGTCAGGGAGGTATACCATCTTTTAGGAGTGAAGAAGAGCAGAATGTAAGTGTGGGGGAGGTACGTGAGGCATTACGTAAAATGAAAGGGGGTAAAGCGTCTGGAACTGATGGGATCATGACAAATGTTAAAAGCAGGGGAGGATATAGTGTTGGAGTGGTTGGTACTTTTGTTTAATAAATGTATGAAAGAGGGGAAGGTACCTAGGGATTGGCGGAGAGCATGTATAGTCCCTTTATATAAAGGGAAAGGGGACAAAAGAGACTGTAAAAATTATAGAGGAATAAGCTTACTGAGTATACCAGGAAAAGTGTACGGTAGGGTTATAATTGAAAGAATTAGAGGTAAGACAGAATGTAGGATTGCGGATGAGCAAGGAGGTATCAGAGTGGGTAGGGGATCTGTAGATCAAGTATTTACATTAAAGCATATATGTGAACAGTATTTAGATAAAGGTAGGGAAGTTTTTATTGCATTTATGGATTTAGAAAAGGCATATGATAGAGTGGATAGAGGAGCAATGTGGCAGATGTTGCAAGTATATGGAATAGGTGGTAAGTTATTAAATGCTGTAAAGAGTTTTTATGAGGATAGTGAGGCTCAGGTTAGGGTGTGTAGAAGAGAGGGAGACTACTTCCCGGTAAAAGTAGGTCTTAGACAGGGATGTGTAATGTCACCATGGTTGTTTAATATATTTATAGATGGGGTTGTAAAGGAAGTAAATGCTAGGGTGTTCGGGAGAGGGGTGGGATTAAATTTTGGGGAATCAAATTCAAAATGGGAATTGACACAGTTACTTTTTGTTGATGATACTGTGCTTATGGGAGATTCTAAAGAAAAATTGCAAAGGTTAGTGGATGAGTTTGGGAATGTGTGTAAAGGCAGAAAGTTGAAAGTGAACATAGAAAAGAGTAAAGTGATGAGGGTGTCAAATGATTTTGATAAAGAAAAATTGGATATCAAATTGGGGAGGAGGAGTATGGAAGAAGTGAATGTTTTCAGATACTTGGGAGTCGACGTGTCAGCGGATGGATTTATGAAGGATGAGGTTAATCATAGAATTGATGAGGGAAAAAAGGTGAGTGGTGTGTTGAGGTATATGTGGAGTCAAAAAACGTTATCTATGGAGGCAAAGAAGGGAATGTATGAAAGTATAGTAGTACCAACACTCTTATATATGTGTGAAGCTTGGGTGGTAAATGCAGCAGTGAGGAGACGGTTGGAGGCAGTGGAGATGTCCCGTTTAAGGGCAATGTGTGGTGTAAATATTATGCAGAAAATTCGGAGTGTGGAAATTAGGAGAAGGTGTGGAGTTAATAAAAGCATTAGTCAGAGGGCAGAAGAGGGGTTGTTGAGGTGGTTTGGTCATTTAGAGAGAATGGATCAAAGTAGAATGACAGGGAAAGCATATAAATCTATAGGGGAAGGAAGGAGGGGTAGGGGTATTTCCCTACAATATATTGGAGCACCAAACATTCACGTTTTTTCAATATTCGCGAGGCTCTTGATCCCCTAACCCTCGCGAATGTTGAGGGAGACCTGTATATACAGTGGACCCTCAACCAGCGATGGCATAGATTAACGATAAATCTGACTAGCGATACATTTTAACGCAAAAATTTTGCCTTGACTAGCACTTAAAAACCCGACCAGCGCTATTCGTTCCGTACCATACGCGTCCACTTTGGCCTGAGCGCGCCTCACTTGTCCCTTGGTGCCAGTGTTTACAAGCCAGCCAGCCACTGCGGTCGCTTCCAAACATACGACTGGAACATTTCATATTATCACAGCCTTTGTAGTGATTGCACCTGCAAAATAAGTCACCATGGGCCCCAAGAAAGCTTCTAGTGCCAACCCTACAGCAAAAAGGGTGAGAATTACTATGGAGATGAAGAAAGAGATCATTGCTAAGTATGAAAGTGGAGTGCGTGTGTCTGAGCTGGTCAGGTTGTATAATAAACCCCAATCAACCATCGCTACTATTGTGGGCAAGAAAACGGCAATCAAGGAAGCTGTTCTTGCCAAAGGTGCAACTATGTTTTCGAAACTGAGATCGCAAGCGATAGAAGATGTTGAGAGACTTTTATTGGTGTGGATAAACGAGAAACAGATAGCAGGAGACAGCATCTCTCAAGCGATCATATGTGAAAAGGCTAGGAAGTTGCATGACGATTTAATTAGAAAAATGCCAGAAACTAGTGATGTGAGTGAATTTAAGGTCAGCAGAGGTTGGTTTGAGAGATTTAAGAAGCGTAGTGGCATTCATAGTGTGATAAGGCATGGTGAGGCTGCCAGTTCGGACCACAAATCGGCTGAAAAATATGTGCAGGACTTCAAGGAGTACATAGACAGTGAAGGACTGAAACCTGAACAAGTGTTTAATTGTGACGAAACAGGCCTGTTTTGGAAGAAAATGCCAAGCAGGACGTACATTACTCAGGAGGAAAAGGCACTCCCAGGACATAAGCCTATGAAAGACAGGCTTACTCTGTTGATGTGTGCCAATGCTAGTGGTGATTGCAAAGTGAAGCCTTTATTGGTGTATCACTCTGAAACCCCCAGAGTGTTCAGGAAAAACAATGTCATGAAGGCTAATTTGTGTGCTGTGGAGGGCAAACAGTAAGGCATGGGTCACTAGGGACTTTTTCTATGACTGGTTACACCATGCATTTGCCCCAATGTGAAAAATTACCTAATTGAAAAGAAATTAGACCTTAAGTGCCTCCTGGTATTAGACAATGCCCCTGGTCATCCTACAGATGTGGCAGAGCGACTTTCTAGGGACATGAGCTTCATTAAGGTGAAGTTTTTGCCTCCTAATACCACTCCTCTCCTGCAGCCCATGGACCAGCAGGTTATTTCCAACTTCAAGAAACTGTACACAAAAGCTATGTTTGAAAGGTGCTTTGTAGTGACCTCAGAAACGCAACTGACTCTAAGAGAGTTTTGGAAAGATCATTTTACCATCCTCAATTGTGTAAACATTATAGGTAAGGCTTGGGAGGAAGTGACTGAGAGGACATTGAACTCTGCTTGGAAAAAACTTTGGCCAGAATGTGTAGACAAAAGGGATTTTGAAGGGTTTGAGGCTAACCCTGAGAATCCTATGCCAGTTGAGGAATCCATTGTGGCATTGGGGAAGTCCTTGGGGTTGGAGGTTAGTGGGGAGGATGTGGAAGAGTTGGTGGTGGAGGACAGTGAAGAACTAACCACTGATGAGCTGCTAGATCATCTTGAACAGCAAGAGGGCAGACCTGAGGAAATTGCTTCGGAGGAGGGGAGAGAGAAATTGAAGAAGTTGCCTACTTCTAAGATAAAGGAAATGTGTGCAAAGTGGCTTGAAGTGCAAACCTTTTTTTGATGAAAATCACCCTGACACAGCTACTGCAAGCCGTGTTGGCAACCTGTACACTGACAATGTTGTGAACCACTTTAGGAAAGTCATAAAGGAACGAGAGGTACAGGTATCTATGGACAGATATGTTGTGCGACAGAAGTCCAGTGACTCTGAAGCTGGTCCTAGTGGCATTAAAAGAAGAAGGGAAGTAACCCCAGAAAAAGGGGATTCCCCTTCTAAACACTAACACCTCTCCCCTCCTCCCATCCCATCAATCATCACCAGATCTTCAATAAAGGTAAGTGTCATGTAACTGTGCATGTAATCTTCAGTTTGTGTGTATTAAAATTAATATTTCATGTGGTAAAATTTTTTTTTTTCAATACTTTTGGGTGTCTTGCACGGATTAATTTGATTTCCATTATTTCTTATGGGGAAAATTAACTTGACTAACGATAATTTTGACTAACGATGAGCTCTCAGGAACGGATTAATATCGCTGGTTGAGGGTCCACTGTGTATATATGTGTATTTATATATATATATATATTTTATTATTTTATTATCACACTGGCCGATTCCCACCAAGGCAGGGTGGCCCGAAAAAGAAAAACTTTCACCATCATTCACTCCATCACTGTCTTGCCAGAAGGGTGCTTTACACTACAGTTTTTAAACTGCAACATTAACACCCCTCCTTCAGAGTGCAGGCACTGTACTTCCCATCTCCAGGACTCAAGTCCGGCCTGCCGGTTTCCCTGAACCCCTTCATAAATGTTACTTTGCTCACACTCCAACAGCACGTCAAGTATTAAAAACCATTTGTCTCCATTCACTCCTATCAAACACGCTCACGCATGCCTGCTGGAAGTCCAAGCCCCTCGCACACAAAACCTCCTTTACCCCCTCTCTCCAACCTTTCCTAGGCCGACCCCTACCCCGCCTTCCTTCCACTACAGACTGATACACTCTTGAAGTCATTCTGTTTCGCTCCATTCTCTACATGTCCGAACCACCTCAACAACCCTTCCTCAGCCCTCTGGACAACAGTTTTGGTAATCCCGCACCTCCTCCTAACTTCCAAACTACGAATTCTCTGCATTATATTCACACCACACATTGCCCTCAGACATGACATCTCCACTGCCTCCAGCCTTCTCCTCGCTGCAGCATTCATCACCCATGCTTCACACCCATATAAGAGCGTTGGTAAAACTATACTCTCATACAGTCCCCTCTTTGCCTCCAAGGACAAAGTTCTTTGTCTCCACAGACTCCTAAGTGCACCACTCACTCTTTTCCCCTCATCAATTCTATGATTCACCTCATCTTTCATAGACCCATCCGCTGACACGTCCACTCCCAAATATCTGAATACATTCACCTCCTCCATACTCTCTCCCTCCAATCTGATATTCAATCTTTCATCACCTAATCTTTTTGTTATCCTCATAACCTTACTCTTTCCTGTATTCACCTTTAATTTTCTTCTTTTGCACACCCTACCAAATTCATCCACCAATCTCTGCAACTTCTCTTCAGAATCTCCCAAGAGCACAGTGTCATCAGCAAAGAGCAGCTGTGACAACTCCCACTTTGTGTGTGATTCTTTATCTTTTAACTCCACGCCTCTTGCCAAGACCCTCGCATTTACTTCTCTTACAACCCCATCTATAAATATATTAAACAACCACGGTGACATCACACATCCTTGTCTAAGGCCTACTTTTACTGGGAAAAAATTTCCCTCTTTCCTACATACTCTAACTTGAGCCTCACTATCCTCGTAAAAACTCTTCACTGCTTTCAGTAACCTACCTCCTACACCATACACTTGCAACATCTGCCACATTGCCCCCCTATCCACCCTGTCATACGCCTTTTCCAAATCCATAAATGCCACAAAGACCTCTTTAGCCTTATCTAAATACTGTTCACTTATATGTTTCACTGTAAACACCTGGTCCACACACCCCCTCACTATCCTCGTAAAAACTCTTCACTGCTTTCAGTAACCTACCTCCTACACCATACACTTGCAACATCTGCCACATTGCCCCCCTATCCACCCTGTCATATGCCTTTTCCAAATCCATAAATGCCACAAAGACCTCTTTAGCCTTATCTAAATACTGTTCACTTATATGTTTCACTGTAAACACCTGGTCCACACACCCCCTACCTTTCCTAAAGCCTCCTTGTTCATCTGCTATCCTATTCTCCATCTTACTCTTAATTCTTTCAATAATAACTCAACCATACATTTTCCCGGTATACTCAACAGACTATCCCCCTAAATTTTTGCACTCTCTTTATCCCCTTTCCCTTTTATAAAAAAACTATGCATCTCTCTGCCAAATCCCAGGTCCTTACCCTCTTCCATACATTTATTAAATAATTGCCCAACCACCCCAAACTTACCCCCACCTGCTTTTAAACATTTCTATTTTTATCCCATCAATCCCTCCCTTACCCCCTTTTCATTTTACCTACTGCCTCACAATTCCCCCACACCACAACGGGCCCTTTTCCTACTCCTACAAGATGTTTTTTTCCCCTTGTCCTATACATGAAATCACAGCTTTCCCTATCTTCATCAACATTTAACAATTCCTCAAAATATTCCCCCATCTCCCAATACCCTAACCTCCATTTAAAAACTCTCCTCTCCTTTTTTTTAACTGACAAACCCATTTTTTTTCTCTAGGCTTTTTTAAACTTGTTAATCCACCCCAAAACTTTTTTTATTTTCAACAAAATTTGTTGATAAATCTCACCCCCTCTTCTTTTGCTCTCTTTTTACATTGTTTCACCCTCTCTAACCCCTCCTTTTTCCCTATACTTTTCCCCTCCTTGCACACTTCTATTTTTGTAAAAACTTTTCATAGTAACTTTTTTCCCTTATACTCTCTTTTACATCATCTTTCCCCCAATCGCTCCTCTTCCCTCCCGCCCCCCTTTTCCCTGAAACCCACAAACTTCTGCTGAACACTCTAACACTACTTTTTTAAATACCCCCATACCCTTTGACCCCTTTGCCTATCCTCATTAGCCCATCTATCCTCCAGTAGCTTTTTATACACCCTAACTGCCCCCTTTTTAAGTTTTTAAACCTTCACCTCTCTTTCCCGATGCTTTATTCCCTTGTACCCCATCTACCTTTTACCTCGTGTAGTACAATAGAAAGTGTTTGATATATCTGTGGCCCCTCTTAAAAATGTACATCCTGAAATCTACTCAACAGTCTTCTACACCATACATAACCAACAAACACTGTCATTTCGCCCTACATCATATCTTGTATACTTATTTTTTCCCCTTTTTTCTAAAATATGTATTACCATAACCCAAACCCCTTTCTATACAAATTAAAACAAAGGGCTTTCCCCTTATCATTTACACCGGCACCCCCCAAAATTATACCCCACCCTCTCTAAAGTTTCTCCTACTTTGCTTTTAGGTCCCCTACCAAATTTTCTCTCTCATTGGTTCAAAGGCTCCTATCTTTACTTAAAATCTCCCAAAAACTTCTCTCTCCCTGCATTCCTTTTTCTCCGGGACTAACGCTTTTTACGACCCCCTTCTCGCATCCAACCTTTACTTAATCCCCATAATTCTTTAATTTACACATTATATTTTCTTTTCCCTTCCTAATGATCTTCAACATTACGCCCCCCCTTTGCCTAACTCTCTCAATACCCAGATTTAATTTTATTTCCCCCCACCCAAAACCCCCTACCCCCCCTTTAACTTTTTTTCGCTAGGGGCCCGGACACCAACTTCTTTTTTTCAAAACATCACAATCACTGTTTTTGTGTGCGAGGGGCTTTGGACTTCCCAGGTGCGTGAGCTGTTTGATAGGAGTGAATGGAGACAAAAGGTTTTTAAACTTGACGGCTGTTGAGTGTAGCAAAAGAACATTTATGAAGGGGGTTTAGGGGAAAACCGGCAGGCCGACTTGAGTCCTGGGAGGGAAGTACAGTGCCTGCACCTGAAGGAGGGTGTTAATTTTGCATTAAAACTGAGTGTAAAGCACCCTTCTGCAAGACAGTGATGGAGTGAATGATGGTAAAATTTTTTTTTTTTGGGCCACCCTCCTTGGTGGGAATCGGCCAGTGTATAATAAAAAAAAAAAAAATATACTTCTAAACTGTTGTATTCTGGACGCCTCTGCAAAAATGATTATGTGTGAGTGAGGTGAAAGTGTTGAATGATGATGAAAGAATTTTCTTTTTGGGGATTTTCTTTCTTTTTGGGTACTCGCCTGGGTGGGAGACGGCCGCTTTTTTGAAAAAAAAAAAATGTTTTAACATTTATTTTTAGGTAGTATTTTTGGTAACAGAAACCCAGGGAGTATACCGTCCTGCCAAGTGAGTGTAAAACGATAGCCTGTAATTGTTTTACACGATGGTAGGATTGCTGGTGTCCTTTTTTCTGTCTCATAAACATGCAAGATTTCAGGTATGTCTTGCTGCTTCTACTTGCACTTACGTCACACTACACATACATGTACAAACATATATACACACACCCCTCTGGGTTTTTTTCTGTTTTCTTTCTAGTTCTTGTTCTTGTTTATTTCCTCTTATCTCCATGGGGAAGTGGAACAAAATTCTTCCTCCGTAAGCCATGCATGTTGTCAGAGGTGACTAAAATGCCGGTAGCAAGGGGCTAATAACCCCTTCTCCCGTATAAATTACTAAATTTAAAAAGAGGAACTTTCGTTTTTCTCTTTGGGCCACCCCGCCTCGGTGGGATACAGCTGATGTGTTGAAAGAAAGATATATTTTTTTTTCTGTTGAAAGCATTAACCGGGCCCTGATATACCTGATGGGGAAAGGAAGCCCATTGCTTATTAAGGTTTTTTCTTGCAAAGGGTGAGGTTTTGGTCTGCACAGTAGCAGTAATGCTTAAATAGGGGATGTCATGGTTAGTAGTAATAAAGAATTATTATTATTAAAGAATTATTAGTAATTATCTCTATCTTGGTTTCTGATTAATTTGAACACTAATTTGGTTTCTGAATTACTTGAGCAGGTCATGCAGTTGTGTATGAGGATGATGATGACTCTGATGATGATAGCTCTGAAGATGAGTGGCGAGGTGAGTTATACTAATTGTCTTGTATGTTTGTTTTATAATAAAATGTTTCAGGTATTTAATGAGATGAAAAGAATATTTTTTTAAGCAGAGGCTGCTTCTTGCTCTAAATTCTAACTTTTAAAATTGTAGATTTGTGTTTAGAGTATGGAATCAATTTCGTACTTTGGTTATTAGGACTGTATAGATCAATAAAGTGAGGCAGCCTGGAGAGCAAATGGACTTAGCAGTTAAAAATGAAAGAGGGGAGATGTAACACACAGAGGTAGGAGTACTGGAAAGATGAAGAGGATATTTTGACGAGTTAATGCTGATGATTAAGGGAAGGTGGTGTTTTCATGGATTAGAAATGGAGGAGCCTGAAAGAAGGGCAAAGCAGCTGGGATGGTTTGAATTAAGACATGTTAAAAGCATGTGGTTAGGTGCCTTGGTGGGAATCGGCCAGTGTGATAATAACAATAAAAAAATTAAGTATATACGTACTTGAAAGAATAGAAGGTACCAAAGGATTGCCATAGAACATTCATAGTTCCCTTGTAGAAGAGAAAAGGGGACAAGGGAGAATTTAAAAATTTTTTTTTTTTTTTTTTTTATACCAGGTGAATTTTTTAGTAAAATTACTAGTGAAAGGGTTAGGGGTACGACAGAAATTAGGATTGCCGAGAAGAAGGGAATATTTATGAGGAGTAGGGGTTGTGTAGGCTAATTGTTTGTATTGAAGAATATAAATGAGCATTACTTAGATAAGGGTAAAGAACTGTTTGTTGTATTTATGGATTTAGACATCATATAAAGTGGATAGGGGAGCCATGTTTCAAATTTTACAAATGTATGGAATGGAAGGTAGGTTAATAAAAGATATGTAGGAGAAAGGGGAAATATTTTCTCTGCCCAAGTAGAACTTGGGCAGGGATGTGTGAGGTCATCATAGTTGCTTAACATATTTAGAGATGGGGTTGGGAAGAAGTGTGGGGTTAAAAGATGTTGGATCTGACATAAAGTGGAAATTTCATGGTTGGTCTTTGCTGATGACATTGATTTTTGCTGGATTCTTAAGACAAGTTGCAAAGGTGGGTGGACAGATTTGGGAGAATATATAAAAAATGGAAATTAAAATTCAACATAGAAAAGAGCAAGGTGATGAGGGCAATAAAAAGCTTATTCAATGACAGATTGAATATCAGATGAAAGGGAGAGTGTATGGAGGAAGTGGATGTGTTTAGGTATTTGGGGGGTGGACATTTCAATAGATGGGTCTATGAAAGATGAGGTGAACCTTAGAATAGATCAGAGGAAAAAAATGGGTTGTGCAGAAATGCATCTTTGCAAAGAAAGGAACCTTAGAATAATGAATAAGAAAAATATGGGTGGTGTTTTGAGGCATCTGTGGAAAAAAAGAAGTGTATAGATGCTAAAAAGGGAATTTGTCAGAGTATAATGATAGCAACACTTTTTGTGGGTCTGAGGCATTAGCTTTAAATGCTACAGTGAGGTAGTTAGAGACATTGGAGACATATTTGAGAGCACTGTGTGGTGTGAATATGCAGATAATTCAGAGCATTGAAATTAAAATGGGATGAGGGGGTCATCAAACATATAATACAGAAGGATGAGGTGGTTTGGGCATGTAGAGAGGATGGAGAGGCTAGGATGACAAAGATGTATAAATCTGGGGTGGAAAGTAAGAGGGGTAGGGGTCATTGTAAGAATGCATGGAGGGAGGAGGCATAGGAAGGTTTGTTTTAGGGGCTGGTGCATCTAGCAGGCTTATGTTAGATAGTAAATGAAGACAAGTGTTTGTTTTTTTACTGAAGGTGTTGGTGTGTGGGTATGGTAACTTTTATGAAGGGATTCATGAAGTCGGTTAGGTGGACTGCTTTTGAATGAATGATGGTGACTGTATTTTGTTTTCTGGGGTCACACTACCTTGATAGAGATGTTCAGTGTACGGATAAGAATTTATAACCTGATGCATGACTTCTGTATTCTACATGCCGGTACTGAATCATAAAATGTTGGTGGTTATGATAGACGTTTCTGCTTCTTTTTTTTTTTATAGCCATCTCTCCATTAGAATTTTGGATATTTCTAGGGTGAAAAACACTTGTCATCAAATGCACCAGTAAACATTCAAATAAGTATTTTATTTTGAAACTGTTATTGTGATGAGGGAGCATGAAATAAATATTTTGATTATTACACTTACCTTTCTTCACAGGATATTTTGTTTTCAAGTAACATATGTTACTTGAAAGATTCATAAACTTGTAAAAATAGTGTTTTAACTAATATTAAATATATATTTGATCAAGTATTATGTGATGATTCACTAAGTTTTCTTTCGAGCAGTTTTATGCCGCAATGGAGATACACAAAATCATCTTTCAAAAACTAACGTTGACCTAACAGATGCTGAGAAAGAGAAAAGAAAAGCTGAAAAAAGAAGAGCAAAAAAGAAAAGAAGGAAAGAAAAGAAAAAATCAGGAAAATTAGAAAATCAATCTAATCAAAATTCTAATAATAGCAATAGTAAAAGGTAAGACAGGTACTTGTGTGTTCTACCCCCTTTTCTCTCTCTCTCTCTCTCTCTTCTCTTTCTTTGTTTTCTTTTTCTCTTCTCTTTTTCTCAATCTCTCATCTTTTTCTCTTACACCTTTTCCTCTTTCTCTTAATATTTTTCTCTTCTTTATTTTCTCTTTTTTTTATTTATACAAGGGTTTACAGAGTTAGGTTAAGAGTTCCTGTCTTCATTTACAAGTAAGAGCTGTGACCTACCTCACCTCATGTGAAAGGTATTTATTTGTTATGAGACATACAAATAGAGAAGAGGAGGAAGTTGGAGCCATTTGTCGGCAAGTGTTTCTGTCTCTTCCTCCCCTCTTTCCTTCCTTCCTTCTTTCAAAATCATTAGTTTTTTATGTACTATCTTATTTGATATAATTGAGCTCTTATTTCTTTTTGTTTTAATTAACTTCACTGGATTTCATGTTAAAATATTTACTTTAAATTCATTGTCTTGTCAACTTCATTAATTATCTAGTTACTGTAATCATTATTTTATATCTACTACAGTTACCTTGCTGATACATTAGTTACCACATTACAGTAATCATTTCTTTCTCTTCCACATCAGTTATGTCACATCAGTTATGTTCACATTATTTATGTCATATCCCTTCTGCTACATCATTTACCATGTTGCAATTAGCATCTTGATCCAGTCTCTACCACAGTAGTTAGCTTGTTAGCCTTTCTCTAACACAGCTAACATGTAACCTTATTATTTTCTCTTTCATATCATTTATCATGTTACTGTAATCATTATCCCTTCTACCACATCAGTTCTTTCTTTCTTTCAACACACCGGCCGTATCCCACCAAGGCGGAGTGGCCCAAAAGGAAAAACGAAAGTTTCTCCTTTTACATTTAGTAACATATACAGGAGAAGGGGTTACTAGCCCCTACCATGTCATTTAGCATGTTACAGTAAAAAATTTTTCCATCATCATGCTTTGTATGTCAGATTCTTGATACATTATTGATTTGTCTATTGGTACTGCAGAGAAGACGATTCTGGGTCCAACGATGAAGACGATGACGATGATGATGAAGATGAAGATGAAGGTCAGGGTTTGGATCCTAAATCAGCCTTTGTTGCAACTGCAGCAGGAAAAAAAATAGGACTTGGTGCCACGTCTAAACATGAAGTTCGACGGAAAGCTCTGAGTAAAGGAGGGAGTCATGAAGAAGACGATGGTAATACTGCAAGTAAGGATACAATTTTTGTGTTATGCACGATATACATACATGGAGGGAGGTATTACCATCATGCCAAGTGAGTGTGACTGGGAAACCTGTAATTGTTTTACATGATGGTAGGATTGCTGGTGTCTTTTTTCTGTCTTATAAACACGCAAGATAACAGGTATATACCATCTTGCTACTTCTACTTACACTTAGGTCACACTACACATGCATGTACATGCATGTGTACAAGCGTGTTAGATAGGAGTGAATGGAGAAAAATGGTTTTTGGGACCGGACGAGCTGTTGGAGTGTGAGCAGGGTAATATTTTGTGGAGGGATTCAGGGAAACTAGTTAGCTGGACTTGAGTCCTGGAAGTGGGAAATACAATGCCTGCACTTTAAATGAGGGGATTGGGATATTGACAGTATGGAGGGACATCTAAACTGTTGTATCTGAGCTCCTCTGCAAAGACAGTGATTATGTATGAGTGATGATGAAAGTGTTGAATGATGATGAAAGTTTTTACTTTTGGGTTTTTTTTCTTTTTGGGTCACCCTGCCTTGGTGAGAAACGGCCGATGTGTTAAAAAAGAAAAAACCACGGACGCTCACTCGCTCACTCACGCTCACTCACGCTCACTCACGCTCACTCACGCTCACTCACGCTCACTCACGCTCGCTCACGCTCACGCTCACTCACGCTCACTCACGCTCACTCACGCTCACTCATGCTCACACTCATTCACACTCATTCACACTCACACTCTTTCACACTCTTTCACACTCTTTCACACTCTTTCACACTCTTTCACACACACACACACACACACACACACACACACACACACACACACACACACACACACACTCACACACACACACACACTCACTCACTCACTCACTCTCACTCTCACTCTGCAAGAAGGCATTTGACACAGTTCCACACAAGAGATTAGTGCAAAAACTGGAGGACCAAGCAGGGATAACAAGGAAGGCACTACAATGGATCAGGGAATACTTGTCATTGAAGACAGCAGCGAGTCATGGTACGTGGTGAGGTGTCAGAGTGGGCACCTGTGACCAGCGGGGTTCCACAGGGGTCAGTCCTAGGACCAGTGCTGTTTCTGGTATTTGTGAATGACATGACGGAAGGAATAGACTCTGAGGTGTCCCTGTTTGCAGATGACGTGAAGTTGATGAGAAGAATTCACTCGAGCGAAGACCAGGCAGAACTAAAAGGGATCTGGACAGGCTGCAGACCTGGTCCAGCAATTGGCTCCTGGAGTTCAATCCCACCAAGTGCAAAGTCATGAAGATTGGGGAAGGGCAAAGAAGACAGCAGACGGAGTACAGTCTAGGGGGCCAGAGACTACATACCTCACTCATGGAAAAAGATCTTGGGGTGAGTATAACACCAGGCACATCTCCTGAAGCACACATCAACCAAATAACGGCTGCAGCATATGGGGGCCTAGCAAACCTCAGAACAGCATTCCGACACCTTAATAAGGAATCGTTCAGGACCCTGTACACCGTGTACGTTAGGCCCATATTGGAGTATGCGGCACCAGCTTGGAACCCACACCTAGCCAAGCACGTAAAGAAACTAGAGAAATTGCAAAGGTTTTCAACAAGACTAGTCCCAGAGCTAAGAGGTATGTCCTGTGAGGAGAGGTTAAGGGAAATCAACCTGACGACACTGGAGGACAGGAGAGATAGGGGGGACATGATAACGACATACAAAATACTGAGAGGAATTGACAAGGTGGACAAAGACAGGATGTTCCAGAGATTGGACACAGTAACAAGGGGACACAGTTGGAAGTTGAAGACACAGATGAATCACAGGGATGTTAGGAAGTATTTCGTCAGCCACAGAGTAGTCAGTAAGTGGAATAGTTTGGGAAACAATTGTGAAACGCGATTACTTGGTAATTCTGGTAGCAGGGTTCAAATGATAAACGTCTTCGGAGGCTTCTTAATTTATTTGTAAAGTAGTGGTGGGTACACAGGCTTGTGTGTTGTGCCCATGGCCCAGGAGGGCCATCCCACGAGAGGGAGAACTAGTAGGCCTCTCTTGCTGCTAGGCCGCTGTGAGTGTGTGTGGGCCCAGCATCCCACTGACCTGGAGCAGGCCCAGAGGGCAGCACCTTAGTGGCGCGAAATATGAACTAAGCTGGCAGACAGCATAGGCTGTCTGTGCAGACAGTACAGGCTGTCTACATACGCTCGGCCACCTACCACATGGTCGTCCCGACCATGTCTGGTGGTAAAAAAAACTCGGTCTCTTTCGTAGGAACAGGGCACAGAACACAAAATAAAAAACATATATGTACATATGGACATGGAAAAAAACAACTTCCTACAGGGAGGGAAGAAAAAAACGGGTGTGCTAAACATCGTGGTCATAGGCGGTGAGCGTCGAAGGGCATCACTGCACACCTTCCTGCGTCTGGACAGATACTGCAACACAGAAGACATCGCTGCGGCTCAGCTGTGACGTAACAGGGTATGGTCTCCTCTAGAACGGTGAAGCAGTCATCGTAGGAGTCGCTGCAGGTTTTCACTCAACCTGGGGCATGACATGCTGGTGCCCTCGAGTGAGGCGTCGTCAAAACTCGGCAACTGGGCAGGACTTCTGGCAAGCGACTCAGGAGGACACTTCTCGACTGGTACTGTCGCTGGGCTGTCACTGCCGGCGAGCGTGGAACGAGTCATGGAGCGAGTCGTGGCAGAGACGACTGGGTGAAACATCTGGGAGTCGTAACATCATACACCAGACTGCAGTGAGCGAGCTAGCAGTCAAATTGACATCTTCTTTGTGCAGGATGCACACTGAAGCTTGTGACATGAGGCTGACACAACGCCTGCCGTCAGGGCTAACTGCGGCTTGACGAGTGTCATTCTCTCGGCAGTTGGAGTTATAGCAGAGGTTAGTCTAAGCGTCTCCAGACTTGTTTCTCTACATAAAACTGCACTCTGAAGGTCTGGAGGTGAAGTGAAACAAATCTCGATGGGAATCGTAGCAGGTACGATTCTGCAGAACATCACGAGCGAAGAGCATAAGAGCTTTCTGTATAAGGGGGCTCGGGCTCAGAGCTGACTGATATCAGCTGTCAAACACGCTGATCACATCGGGTGACTTAACACAGTGGTGCTACTCAGGTCTGGCTCAAGACCACTGGACACACGGAAAATTTTACACACACCCGTGGTACATGCAGTACAACATGGCTTAAACTAGCAAATGATGCTTTTCTGTGCACAAAACTGACACTAAGCTATACACTAACATGTGAGAACACTGAGAGGAATTAACACACGACATATATCTTCTCTCAATCTTCTCGGCAATACTGAAATATTTACTGAAACTCTCGATGTGACATCATGTGATGTCAGACGTGACATCGCGAGGTGACGTCAGCAGCATTGTGACGTCAGCAGACATCTCAAGGTGACGTCAGGCAGACATCGTGATGTCATGAAGTCGGACAGCAGCATCGGTGACGTCAATGTGATGCGGGCAGCAGACCACAGCATGTGGCCTGGGACATCTGGCTTGGTAACCCACGTGGCTTGTACATCCACGTGACATAGCCCACACCCCACGTGGCGTCGGGATACATGTAGCGTCGTAATCTACATGGCATGCTGATCCACATGGCTTGCTGATCCACATGGCTTGCTGATCTACATGGCTTGCTGATCCACATGGCATGCTGATCCATGTGGCTTGCTGATCCATGTGGCTTGCTGATCCACGTGGCTTGCTGATCTACGTGGCATACTGATCCGCGTGGCTTGCTGATGCACGTGGCTTGGTGATCTACGTGGCATGTTTATCCGTGTGCCACGTAGATCAGCAAGCCACATGGATCAGCAAGCCATGTGGATCAGCATGCCACGTGGATCAGCAAGCCACGTGGATCAGCATGCCACGTGGATCAGCATGCCACGTGGATCAGCATGCCACGTGGATCAGTAAGCCATGTGGATCAGCAAGCCATGTGGATCAGCAAGCCATGTGGAGCAGCATGCCATGTAGATCACGGCGCTACGTGGATCCCGACGCCACGTGGGGTGTGGGCTATGTCACGTGGATGTACAAGCCACGTGGGTTACCAAGCCAGATGTCCCAGGCCACATGCTGTGGTCTGCTGCCCACATCACATTGACGTCACCGATGTTGCTGCCCGACTTCATGACGTCACGATGTCTGCCTGACGTCACCTCGAGATGTCTGCTGATGTCACAATGCTGCTGATGTCACCTTGCGACATCACGCCTGACATCACATGATGTCACATCGAGTGTTTCAGTAAATATTTCAGTAATAACCTCGTTATAAATGGTGGGAAGTGGTGGTTGCAGCAGTTGTGTTTGCCCGGAGAGAGGAAGGAAGAGGGATGAAGCCATCTTCACTTTATCACCCTATACAAGAAGCATCCGTCTCTCAACGAGTTATCCTGATGTCGTGTCTGCACGTTTGAGCATCCAGACACAGGTACAAGCAGGATCTAGCTGAAATTTGCCGAATTTCTTCGAGAATTGTAAGTGGTGTCTTAGTGACCCCACGCTACAGTATCCCACCGCTGCCACCAATATGAAACGTGATTACTTGGTAATTTTGGTAGCGGGGTTCAAATGATAAACGTCTTTGGAAGCTTCTTACTTTATTTGTAAAGTAGTGGTGGGTACACAGGCTTGTGTGTTGTGCCCATGGCCCAGGAGGGCCATCCCACGAGAGGGAGAACTAGTAGGCCTTCTGTCTTGCTGCTAGGCTGCTGTGAGTGTGTGGGCCCAGCATCCCACTGACCTGGAGCAGGCCCAAAGGGCAGCACCTTAGTGGCACGAAATATGAACTAAGCTGGCAGACAGCATAGGCTGTCTGTGCAGACAGTACAGGCTGTCTGTGCAGACAGTACAGGCTGTCTACACGATGTAGTGGAGGCAGGATTTATACATAGCTTTAAGCAGAGGTATGATAAAGCTCACGGTTCATAAAGAGTGACCTAGTAGCGACCAGTGAAGAGGCGGGGCCAGGAGCTCGGACTCGACCCCTGCAACCTCAACTAGGTGAGTTCTCTCTCTCTCTCTCTCTCTCGCTCTCTCGCTCTCTCGCTCTCTCGCTCTCGCTCTCTCTCGCTCTCTCTCGCTCTCGCTCTCGCTCTCGCTCTCTCTCGCTCTCTCTCGCTCTCTCTCGCTCTCGCTCTCTCTCGCTCTCTCTCGCTCTCTCTCGCTCTCTCTCGCTCTCTCGCTCTCTCTCGCTCTCTCGCTCTCCTCTCCTCTCGCCTCTCCTCTCCGCTCTCTCGCTCTCTCGCTCTCTCTCGCTCTCTCTCCTCTCTCGCTCTCTCTCTCGCTCTCCCTCGCTCTCTCGCGCTCTCTCGCTCTCTCTCTCTCTCTCGCTCTCTCGCTCTCTCGCTCTCTCTCTCTCTCTCTCTCTCTCTCCTCCTCTCTCTCTCTCTCTCTCTCTCTCTCTCTCTCTCTCTCATATCATATATTTGGGTTTTCTTGTTTTCATAATAGTTCTTGTTGTTCTGTATTTCTCTTATCTCCATGCATGCCGTAAGAGATGACTAAAATGCTGGGAGCAAGGGACTAGTAACCCCTTCTCCTGTATACATTACTAAATTTAAAGAACTTTAGTTTTTATATGTATCACCCTACCTTGGTGGGATACGGCCAGTTTGTTAAAAAAAAATACATATAATAATTTGTTTTCTGCTCTGCTGGTCCTAAATTTGATATGTACCTCACATACTATAAAAGACAGCAATAATGATAGAGTGAAGATTGAAGAAACTGGATTTTTATCAGACTGGACTAGATCCAGAGCAGAGACCCTTTGAGTTAGTGTCTTAGGATATAGTAATGCTTTAACAATGTGTGGTGTGAATATTATGCAGATAATTAAGTGGACAGGAGTTTTAAGATGATGTGGGATTACCAAAAGATATAATTTAATTAGAGGAGGAAGAGTTGAAGTTGTTTGGCAATTTAGAAAGAATGGAGCAGAATAGAAATCAGTGTATAAATCTGAGGAGGAGGCATAGGGGTTGTCCCAGGAAGGATTACATAAGAAAGGTGAAAAATAAAAGGTTCTAAGTGGTAGAGCCTTGATCATCCAACAGGTGTGTGTGAGCACATCAGTTTGCAGTGAGTGGTGATAAGTGGTTATTAGGGTTTGACGTACTGTTGAAGTATGAGCCAGTAAAAATTTATGAACTGAGTTAGAAGAAATCGCTTATGTGGCCCTAAGTCCTGAAGGAGGGGTGTGGCCATTGCTGTTTGGAAGGTCATCTGAATTGTGATGTCTGCACACTTCTGGTAATACAGCTATTGAATGAATGATGTGAATGTTCCTCCTCTGAGTCACCCATACCTAAGTGGGAGAAAGGCGATGTCGGAAAAAATAAATCGATAGCCATTAGCAGTTTTGGTTAAAGTCTGTTTGTGTTTTGAGGATTTTGACCTTAAAACTTCAGAATTTAACTTAATAGAATATAATACTTAATATCAGCATACCCAGATCCTTTAGAAAAGTGATTGTCAACATTTTATCAAAAAATGGATTGTTTATTTGCAGTTTGGGGGGCATCTGAATTGTAGTATCTGCACATCTCTGGCAGGACAGTGATAGAGTGAATGATGGTTAAAGTGGTTTTTTTTTTTTTTTTTTTTAGTCACCCTACCTTGGTGAGAGATGGCCAGTGTGTTAAAAAAAAAATCTGAAAATTGTCACAGCATATGTACAGTATGCAGTACAGTACATTATTTTCTATATGTGATGTGAATCTATTTTTACTCTTTGATTTTACAAAATACAATATTTTTTGAGCCGAAATAGTTAACTAATTTTTTTTTTGTTCTGTTTTTCAGGCATTGACCCAGTGGTGCTACAATCCCGCCAGTTGGCCATCCGAGGCAATGAGGCGGCCAATGTAGGACAATATTCTGTAGCTGTGCGCCTTTTTTCTGATGCCATCCGCCTTGATCCTAATGATCACCGTTTCTTTGGCAATAGATCCTACTGCTATGATCAGCTAGGACAGCATGAAAAGTATGTTTATTATCAGGAATTACTGATCTTTGTAAAGTTTGATGGTTGTAATTCTCATATGTGTATTTTGATTACTTAACTAATATTGCATATCATTTCTAATTTCAGAATTTGAATTGCTTTTTCTTTTAACTTTCAGAGCATTAAAGGATGCTGAGAAAGCAATTAAATTAGCACCCCAGTGGCCTAAAGGACATTTCAGAAGAGGCACTTCACTTAGAGGATTAGGAGTAAGTAAAGCAAGAATTATGTCTTTCTTTTATTATACATGTAGTTGCTAGATATAATAATGTACAGGTAAGGAATTACCATACATCAACTGTTACTGGTTCTAGGAGTCATTACCCCTGCATCCTAGTCTCAGTCCTTGTACATTGGTAAAGAAATAGTGATTTAACAAGCTTTGGAAATATGGGATTAAGTTGACTATCAGGTCTAACACTAATTTATGCAGACTAACAAATTGAAGGCCGGTTATAGGGAAGGGTAGGGGCCTCTCTATTCCCTCTTCTCTGGTCTGTTTTATGTTTTTTTCCTAGGTCTGCTTCAATTATTAGGAGGGCTTTAAACTATGATTAAATACTCTTGGTTATGATTTATCTGCCGAGAAAGAGAGAAAAGTGTTGAATTATGTGATGATGAATTCATTGTCAATATCGTCAATATTGGCAGTTTGGAGGGATATGTTGTGTATCTTTATACGTATATGCTTCTAAACTGTTGTATTCTGAGCACCTCTGCAAAAACAGAGATAATGTGTGAGTGTGGTGAAAGTGTTGAATGATGATGATAGTATTTTCTTTTTGGGGATTTTCTTTCTTTTTTGGGTCACCCTGCCTCGTGGGAGACGGCCGACTTGTTGAAAAAAAAAAAAAAAAAATTCATTGTTACCTAGGAGAGGCTTGAAGACATGATTAATAACATAGGGAGGGTTAGTGGCTGGAATGCCTACAGTGTTTATTTTGGATTTTGTCAAAAAGTGTAAAATTGGCCAAATTACCAAATCCTGGTCAATTGATAGGGTAGTTCTGATGGTTGAATGGGCAGTTTCTTGTGATCAGTGGATAGTATGGAAGGCATACTAGTGTATTAGCTGGGAGTAGGCCAGTTTGAGCATCTAGATTGGCTTACAACAGGCCTCAAAGTGGGTCGAATATCTGTTGTGTAAAGCGCTTCCAACTTCGCTCCTGTGTTATTCCGTAAGTATTACATAAAATTTTGCATTTTTAGTGTCATTACAATGGCACTAGAAGAATTAAAAACAAAAAATGCCATCACAGAAGGAGCTTTCAGTTTGTGGGTGCTGACAGTAAAGAAGTTAAGGAAGTGGAGGAGGAGAAGAAAATAGTGCGTGGAATGTGAGTGTGGAATTATATAACGGTATAAAAAACATACTTTACTTAACCTTGCTGGTTAATAGGAAAATTTGTATTTTCTATTTTTTAAATATCTGTACTTTTTTTTTATTAATAATTCTTAATTTTTATATTTTGCAGAAATATATAGATGCTGAATCTGCCTTTGAAGAAGTTCTTCGTTTAGATAAAGGTTGTCAGGAAGCTCAGGAAGAAATTCGGAAAGTTAGAATAGTTCGTATCGTTGAAATGGGATTCACGGAAAGACAAGCTAACAATGCAATTGCTAGATATAATCATGTACAGGTAAGGCATTACCATACATTTACTGTTAATGATTCTAGGGATCATTGCCCCTGCATACCAGTCTCGGACCAGGTCTTCTAAATTGGGAAGTAAATACAGTAAACCCTCAATTTAATGAGCTTTGGACAAAGTTTACTAGATCAGTTGATTAGGAAATAGCTGCTAAAATCCATGGTTACAGTATTGTTTATTATTAAGATCATAGCACAGCAATATCACCTTTATCCATCATAGTTGCCATTACCAGTCACTCTCGTCTCCCCTCCTCCCTTTTTAGTTCTTAAAATCGAAGGTTTACTGTTATTGTTTAATAAGTTAAGAGCAAGATTCTTAAATTGTAATTTCATGTACAGTGGTCCCTCAATTATAGTCCTTAATCCGTTCCTGGAAGTGGGACTGTTATTGAAATAGACAATTTTCGAATCAATTTTCCCCATAAGAAATAATGTAAATCCAATTAATTCATTCCAGACACCCAGAAGTATCAACAACAATTTTTTTTTTTACCTAAAAGATAGATTTACATGCACAAAAGAATGAACATTCAACATGACAGTTACCTTTATTGAAGGCTGTTGTTGATGAATGGAAGACAGGGAGGAGGAGAGAGGGAAGAGAAGTTATTGTTTGGAAGGGAAATCCCCCTCCAAAAGGACTGTAGGTCATTTCAGGGGTCACTTCCCTAGCATAAATATAGATTTACATGCGGAAAAAATGCCAAATAAATGTAAAGCACTAATAAAATGTATAAATGAACATTGGTAATAGGGGTAGTTGATGAGTGGAATGGTCTGCCTAGTAGGGTGATCGAAGCTAAAACATTGGGTAGTTTCAAATTTAGGTTGGATAAATACACGAGTGAGAGGGGTTGGATTTGAGTCGGACTTGCACCTGAGCTTATTGCTTGGGTAGCATTTGTTCTGTTACTGGGTTGGATTTGTGAAGGACCGGCCTAGTATGGGCCAGCAGGCCTGTTGCAGTGTTCCTACTTTCTTAAGTTCTTATTTAACATCACACTTACCAGTAGGGTGATTGAGGCTAGGACCTTGGGTAGCTTTAAGAAGAGATTGGACAAATATATGAGTTGGAGGAGCTGAGTTTGATTTGTGTCATTGGGTATGGGAGTAAATTCTTGGGTAGCTTTGGGTATAGAGGTCATTTTGATAAGGACCTGCCTTGTATGGGCCAGTAGACCTGCAGTGTTCTTCCATTATTATGTTCTTAGTGGGAAGGATTGTGAAGGACCTGCCTAGTATGGGCCAGCAAGCCTACTGCAGTGTTCCTTCTTTCTTATGTTCTTATTGGAGATTTGTTTGTGTGAGGGAGGGATGGCAAGTTTGTTGTTGGAGAATATGACACTAATATCAACTCTACGGTTTATTTATCTATCACAATTCAACTAATATGACATAATAAACAATATTAATAACATAGAAACATGGAATATACTCTAGAATGAATAAAATAAGTCATTACGTATGTCACGAGAGGTGTTGTGTTGTTGTGTGGTATATAAGGGCCACTGAGAGTAAGCCGTCCATAATGGTGGTGAAGCAGCAGCTGAGGCGGTGGTGTTTTCTGTAGCCCCATATAACTCCAACAACATTGGAGGAAATAAATGGTATAAAATACCGACACAATGGAAATATAAACACGTATGCAGTTTAATGGGATCCTTTATTGACAACGTTTCGCCCACACAGTGGGCTTTTTCAAGTCACAAACAGATCTACCTGGGGTGGAAGGTACGCGAGTATTTATAGTCAGGTTCAGAATGTTGAGGTCAGGTGGGGTCAGGTGGAGAATGCTGCATCTGATGATCTACCGAGTGGGGTTATAGAGTCTAAAATCTTGGGTAGCTTGGAAGGGAGATAGGATAAGTTTGTGAGCAGACCTTCTGCAGTGTTCTTCCATCCGTATGTTATTATGTGGGATAGCGATGAAGAAGTTTCTTGGCAAGTGGTTCAGCTATGCTATAGAAGCCATTGTTCTGGTTGAAATTGTTGGTTATAGAGATGAGCGATGATTCCAGGATTCTTCGGTATTGAGTGTTGTCTTCTCTGGCGAGAGAGATGCATGATAATATACACTTGGAAGGTCCTGGAGGGATTGGTATCAAACCTGCACACGAAAATCACTATATGAAAGAAAAAGACTCAGCAGGAGATGCAACATTCCCCCAATAAAAAGCAGGGGTGCCACGAGTACACTGAGAGAGAACACGATAAGTGTCCGGGGGCCCAAGACTGTTCAGTTGCCTCCCAGCATACAAAAGAGAGGCATATATAGGCATATCAAAAAAGGGGATGGGCAGTTAAGAAATCAATATATTCAATTAAAGAGAGAAATAAAGAAAGGAATAAGAAAAGCAAAAAGGGATTATGAGGCTAAGGTCGCAAGGGATTCAAAGACACCCAAAAGGGTTCTTTCAGGTATACAGAAGTAAGATTAGGGACAAGATTGGCCCACTTAAGAGTAACTCCAGTCAGATCACTGACAGTGATAAGGATATGTGTGAAATTCTCAATACCTACTTCCTCTCAGTTTTCACCCAGGAAAATACTAACGATATTCCTAAAATAATAGATTATGTAGAACAGGATGATAATAAACTATGTATGATTGTGGTAACTAGCAACGTGATCCTCAGACAAATAGAGAAACTAAAACCTAACAAATCCCCAGGCCCTGATGAACTGTTTGCAAGGGTGCTAAAGGAATGTAAAGAGGAACTTAGCATACCTTTGGCTAATCTTTTAACATATCACATCAAACTGGCATAGTGCCTGATAAGTGGAAAATGGCAAATGTAATACCTATTTACAAGGCAGGTGACAGGTCCTTGGCTTCGAACTATAGACCAATAAGCCTTACTTCCATAGTGGGAAAATTTATGGAATCAATAATTGCCGAAGCAATTCGTAGCCATCTTGACAGACAGAGATTGATTAATGAATCTCAACACGGTTTTACAAAGGGGCGTTCCTGTCTTATGAATTTACTAACTTTTTTCACTAAGGTGTTTGAGGAGGTAGATCATGGTAATGAATATGATATTGTGTATATGGACTTCAGTAAGGCTTTCGATAGAGTTCCACGCCAGAGGCTATTGAGGAAACTTAAGGCACATGGAATAGGAGGAGAAATTTTTTCCTGGGTAGAGGCATGGCTGACAAATAGACAGCAGAGAGTTTGCATAAATGGGGAGAAATCAGAATGGGGGCACGTCACAAGCGGTGTTCCTCAGGGGTCAGTGTTGGGCCCGTTGTTGTTCACAATTTACATAAACGACATAGATGAGGGAATAAATAGCGACATAAGCAAATTTACTGACGACACCAAAATGGGCCGTCCAATTCATTCTAATGAGGACACTAGAGCACTCCAGGATGATTTGAATAGACTGATGCAATGGTTGGAGAAGTGGCAGATGCAGTTTAATATTGACAAATGCAAAGTTCTAAATGTTGGACAGTTAAATAACCATACCACATATAAACTAAATAATGTAGATCTTAATACTACTGATTGCGAAAAGGATTTAGGAGTTCTGGTTAGCAGTAATCTAAAACCAAGACAACAGTGCATTAGTGTTCACAATAAAGCTAACAGAATTCTTGGCTTCATATCTAGAAGTATAAATAATAGAAGTCCTCAGTTTGTTCTTCAACTCTGTATATCCTTGGTTAGGCCTCATTTAGACTATGCTGCTCAATTCTGGTCACCATATTACAGAATGGATATAAATGCTCTAGAAAACATACAGAGGAGGATGACAAAGATGATCCCATGTATCAGAAATCATCCCTATGAGGATAGACTGAGGGCCCTGAATCTGCACTCTCTCGAAAGGCGTAGAATTAGGGGGGATATGATCGAGGTGTATAAATGGAAAACAGGAATAAATAAAGGGGATGTAAATAGCGTGCTGAAAATTTCCAGCCAAGACAGGATTCGCAACATTGGTTTCAAGTTGGAAAAATTCAGATTCAGGAAGGATATAGGAAAGCACTGGTTTGGTAATACAGTTGTTGATGAGTGGAACAAACTCCCGAGTACAGTTATTCAGGCTAAAACATTGTGTAGTTTTAAAAATAGGTTAGATAAATATATGAGTGGGTGTGGGCGGGTGTGAGTTGGACCTGACTAGCTTGTGCTGCTGGGTCTGGTGCCGTGCTCCATCCTTGAGTGGAGGTGACCAGACTGGGTGGGTCATGAGGAACATGGACCTGCTTTGCATGGGTCAGTAGGCCTGTTGCAGTGTTCCTTCTTTCTTATGTTCTTATAAGGGGGATTACCAATAGACCTCTGGCTGTTTTCTAGAAGGCACTAGACAGGCACCTAGAGTCAGTACGTGACTAACAGGGCTGTGGTTCGTAAGTCAGCTTGCTTGTGGCCAGCAGTAACAGCCTGGTTGATCAGATCCTGATCCACCATGAGGTCTGATCTCAGACCAGGCTGTGGGGGCATTGTCCCCTGAAACCCTCTCCAGGTAAACCCCCTACCACCACCACTACTACCCTCTACCACTATCACAACTGCTACCACTCTACCACCACCCCTTTTGTATTTTTCTACAGACTTTTGCTTAAATTATGTGTGTTTCTCATATTCTTTACCAAAGGGCTGGCACTAGAAGCTTTCTTTGGAGCCATGGTGGCTTATTTAGCAGCTGCAAGCATTAAAACGAATGTATAGTATGAACTCGTGGGATCATCCTCACTCACTGATAAACAATGGCACACTGGCTGGGAATGGATTGTGAGGTTGCTTGGGGCCGTGCATATGCATCCGAGACAAACTACTGTTTGCAAGTCAAATGACGATTTTCGAGTCAATGTTTTGATGAAAAAGACGTTACGATTTTCGAAAATTACGACTTTCGAGCCTTACGAGAAACGAGGGTCCACTGTGCACCAATGTTATAAATGGTGCAAAAGTGACATTAAAAAAATATATAAAGATGGTTGACACAAACCCACTACCAATATAGTATGCTCCTCTCTTAACGACCAGTTCGCATACCGACCTTCTCTTAGCAACAGAACCCCATTGTTAAGTGAGGAGAGGCTGTATATACACACCTTTTTGGGTTTTCTTCTATTTTCTTACTAGTTCTTGTTCTTGTTTATTTCCGTTTATCTCCATGGGGAAGTGGAATAGAATTCTTCTTTCACAAGCCATGTGTGTCATAGGAGGCAACTAAAATGCCAGGAGCAAGGGGTAGTGACCCTTCTCCTGTATACATTACTAAATTTAAAAAGAGAAACTGTCGTTTTTCTTTTTGGGCCACCTACTTCGGTGGGATATTGCCGGTGCATTGAAAGAAAGAAAGAAGAATTATGGGAACGAGTTTGCATTCTATTATGATAAGTGTAAGTTAGTACAGAATCTGTACTTCATCAGTAACCCTTTCACTGTCGAGACCCTGCTCACAAACTTGCTCTGTGTCGAAGAATTAGAAAAAAAAAAAAAAGATTTTTTTCTTATGAAATGATAGAGAATTGTTTCCCAATGGTAATGACACCAAAAGTACAAAATTTGATGGAAAACTTATGGAATTACGCTCTCGCAAGGTTAGCGGTCTCGGTGATATATACGCATTGGTGATTTCACCCACTTTGAGCCTTATTTTCGGCCAATTCCATTGTTCCAGTCGACCAAACTCATAGCTATTTTGCTAGAACTGCATTTGTTCTATCAATTGAGTATAAGAAACCAATAAAGTGACAATTTGGCAATTTGACAATTTGGCCAGTTTCACACAAATTTCAAAAGATGTCAATTTCAAGATAGGGTCCAGAATAAACAATGCAGACATTCCTGGCACTAAAATAACGTTTTCTCTGTTCATTAGTCATGTCTCCAGGCCCCTCTTATATTACTCTTGCTTTCCATTTTGAATTTTTATTCACACAAAAAATAGAAGATTTACTGTTATGCAGAATATTGCATTATTGTAATAATTGTGTAAATGATGTCAACCCATTTGTGACTGCATTTTAGACTGGCCAGTTGGAAGCGTATTTGATGGTGGCGTCATTTGTTTACACTTGAACATCAAACATGTCTGCTAATTTGAGCTCAATTTCAAGGTACTTTTCATCGTGAAACCAATCAAAATCATCTCTATTTCTGTAATATACCTTCCATTCTGTCAATTGAGACCAAGAAAATGAGAATACAACCATAAATATCATATGAAAATACATCTCAAAGTTGGTGTTTTAAACCAAAAACATGGTCGGATTTTTTTTCTCATTCACTGCATGCTACAGGAATTTTTTTTATACTGCACACACTGACCATGCAGACCCATTCTCTCACAAGTAGGTCTACCAGCTTTCTCCCGCTAGATTTGAAATCTCTAGAATTTTGGCGTATTAATATGTCACCGACACTGGCTTGTAAGCCGTACCTATACGTCACCAACAGTGAAAGGGTTAAGCATTTTGTAATCATTTTATTAGATTCAGTAAACAAGTACACTAACATAGAAAGCCCTCCCTCTCTACTTTCGGTCAATAGATTGAAAATTTGCTACCAGCAAAAGGCTCTTTATCCAATGAATTGGAATCATCTTTCCCTTCTGGTGATCATATCTGATTACTTCCTGTTCCCCAGGTGCTGCATGACCCTTTTGGGTTTAGCACTTTTCCATGAATGTAATAAGCCAGGCCCCAAAGTTTACATTAATACCTAAATTTAGAGAAATTTTATTGTATAAGAAAGTGTTGAATGATGTTGAAAGTTTTTCTTTTTGGGTCACCCTCCTCTGTGGGAAATTGCCGTGTTAAAAAAAAAAAAAAAAAAAAAGGACCCCTTATCCTTCTATACCATCTCAGTAATTTATAACATGTGTGTGATGTTTTCTTGCCCATTATGTATTTTAAGAGACTGTGAATTATAAGAAATCTTTGAGATGATAATTATTGGTGTTAAAGTACTGTTTTAAGATGCCCTAATTTTAAAGGAGGCACTAATACCACCAGGTAATAATTAATGAGAAGAAACCTTCCAACATACTGCATATGTCATGAAGAAGAGGAGTTACATTTAATAAACTATTAAAGGTCGTGTTTGTAGCTTACGAGTTAATAACAGTTTCATTGACTGTAAACCCCTCATATAATGGACTCTGGAAAGATGGACCAAAATCCACTGGGTCACTCGATTTGGAAACAGTGAACAAAGTCCATTTGTTACAGAATTGTCTATTATTGTTACAATCACTGCAAAAGAAGCTCTTCTCTATGCACCACAGTTACTGTTACTGACCACCTGCTCCTTCCAATTAGCTAGTTATGTAGAGTTTACTGTATATGTCCTTGTGCTGGCAGTCTTGTCATTGATGACTCCTAGATTACAGTCTAACTGTTTTAACATTTTCTCACAGACTGTATTCTTTATGTGGCCTGTTATTGCTTTCACTCATTTCCATTATATGGCATTCATTTACATAAGATTACTGTACATCATTCATCTATTACTTGATGTACTTAATTTAGCCAGGTTTTTAAAGTATTTTCATTAATGTTTTTGTTACTGGGTGTTATTGTACTGGAATGTATGAATGGAGGGAGGGATAGATGGAAAAGGATGAGAAAAGCAAGAAAAGAGAATTGACAGCGTGAAGATAGATTAGTGAGTGAAGGAGAGAGAAAATCATTTGCCTCTTCATATAAGCAATCAGCTGTGGGGTAGGGCAGTTGCTGTAAGTTAAATTACATACAGAGCACTGACCATGTTGTAGCCACACAGTGCTTCTTCTGTGAGGTTTTCCTGCATGCATAATGGCTATTCCTAAATGTTGAGTGAAGACTGTATAGGTCAAGTTTTTCCAGTATTTGGCACATCTTGTAGCAGTGCATGATTGACTTTTGTACTGAGGGTCAGGCTGGGATCTTGGCATGGATCACATCTCCTAAATATGATCCTTGCTGCTTCAGAAAGGTTAAAACTCTTGTATACTTTACACAGGCAAGTGTTTCAACCCAGTCTTCTCCCCTATCTTCTACATATTCACTGCCTTAGCGAACAAGCCTTGTCACCTAATTAGGCTGAGCTGTTATGACATGTCGTTAAATGGTGGACAGATTATCTTTGAGTTTTTCTTAGTGTGTCCATTGTTGTCACACAAATTTTTGTTAACTAGTTAACTGTTATGCATAGGATGCCTGTAGTGCGTTCATAAATAAATTATATCTAATTTCTTTACTTATTTCTCATTTGCCACAGCATGCCTTAGATGCTTTGTTAGCCGGAGAGTTTAAAGAGTCGCTAGAAGATGTATTTTACTCGGATGATGAAGACGAGTTCCTTAAACGAGCAAAAATAACACAGGGTTCTAAGGACGTTAAAATGAAGTAAGTTATGTTCTGTTGTTGTTAATATAAAAATCTTATATGCCTGCATAGTGAATTGTAGTATGTTTGTCTGTCTGATTTAGTTTTGTTTGGGTTAGTTTTGTTCATATTTTTATTCACTTGCTAAAAAGTTTGCAGCATTCATCATTTTTTTGTTGGTTTAAATTCTCTTGGAAATGGTAAAGGAAGTTTGTATATGAGAGTTTGATGATAAGAAAGAGATTGAGGCTTAGAAGGAGTGCAAATAATTTATATAGTTTTGTGTTATTCATAGGAAATATACACATGAAGTGGCTTGATCAATAGTCAGTGTTTGAGTTTTTCAGTTTGCATGTGAACTTTGCATGATATGTGGCTTTGTCAGTGTGAGACAGAATTATACCAATGAATTATGCACAGGAAGTGACAATAAGGAGGATGGAATGGTGATGCGGCTTTCCAGTGATTATGCTCTGAGCAAAAGGTGATGTGAAAGGTCAGGTGTATCTTTCACCTCTCTTTCTGTAGAATGTTCTTCTCTGAAGGTCACAATGCAGTGACTGGAACAAATCACACCTAAGCCTCAAACTGGAGAGGTAGTTGGACTGTGTTGCAGTCCAAGATAAACTGAAATGATGTTTTCATCTCCAGTTTTTGGGCTAGCTGTGAATTACCCTTTTGTGGAGGGTGCCTTCCAGTGCATGAAAGTAGGAAGTTGGGTTAGTGATGATGATTGAGGAGTTTTCAATTTGTCACCACTTTTTTTTTTTTGTGCTTGTAAATTTAATGATCTTGTTAAGAATCATACCTTAAATTTAAATCTCTTTCAAATGTTAAACATTGGATTGAGTGCTTACAGTATTTGCTTCATTCTTTCTCATGTTGATTCAACTGTCAAATATATGTGAAAAAAATTTCTTCCTGTAGTGAAAGACAAGAATGTGCAGAAAAGCTAAAATTTCTTAAATAAACTTATACAAGTTGATAAGTGGAAAGAAAGATGTAGAAAAGAAACACGACAAATGTAAAAGCATCTGTTCCTGAATAGATGTAGCTAATAAAGAAATGGAACAAGTTCAGTTCTGATATACAGTGGACCCCCGCATAGCGAACTTAATCCGTGCAAGAGGGCTGGTCGTTATGCGAAATGTTCGCTATGCGAATTAATTTTCCCCATAAGAAATAATGGAAATAAAATTAATCCGTGCAAGACACCCAAAAGTATGAAAAAAAAATTTTTTTACCACAAAAAAATGTTAATTTTAGTACACACAAACTGAAAAAGGCATGCACAATTACATGACACTTACTTTTATTGAAGATCTGGTGATGATTGATGGGATGGGAGGAGGGGAGAGAGAGTGTTAGTGTTTAGAAGGGGAATCCCCTTCCATTAGGACTTGAGGTAGCAAGTCCTTTTCTGGGGTTACTTCCCTTCTTCTTTTAATGCCACTAGGACCAGCTTCAGAGTCACCATGCCTTATCACACTATGGATGCCACTACGCTTCTTAAATCTCTCAAACCAACCTTTGCTGGCCTTAAATTCACTCACATCATCACTAGTTGCAGGCATTTTTTTAATTAAATCGTCATGCAACTTCCTAGCCTTTTCACATATGATCGCTTGAGAGACGCTATCTCCTGCTAGCTGTTTTTCATTTATCCACACCAATAAGAGTCTCTCAACATCTTCCATCACTTGCGATCTTTGTTTCGAAAACACAGTTAAACCTTTGGCAACAACAGCTTCCTTGATTGCCGTTTTCTTGCCCACAATAGAAGCGATGGTTGATTTTGGTTTCTTGTACAACCTGACCAGGTCGGTGATACGTACTCCACTTTCATACTTATCAATGATTTCTTTCTTAATTTCAATGGGTATTCTTACCCTTTGAGGTGTAGGGTTGGCACTAGAAGCTTTCTTGGGGCCCATGGTCACTTATTTTCCACAAACAGCACCGAAAACACTGTAATAATACGAAATATTCCGAGTGTATGCTTGAATGTTACCGCGGAGGCTAGCTGGTAAACAATGGGACGGGCGGCACATGTGAGGCTGGCTGAGGGCCCACATTGGACGCGTCTCGGACGAAGTTCGCTGAGCGGGTTTTTGTCTACTATGCGGGGCAAAATTTTGGCGAACAAAGCGTTCGCTATGCGGATTGTTCGCTATGCAAGGCGTTCGCTATGCGGGGGTCCACTGTAATTCATTCCCGTGACTGGTTTACCCATGAAACCACTTCGTGTGGTGTAAATGAATTTTTCTTGACTCGCCAATTTGTGTGTGTTTACACTTTACAATGACAATAGTGGTGTGTATATTGTTTTCCATGCAACATTGTATATACATAGGGGATGTGTGTATACACTGAGATTTTACTTTAATCCCTAATTTAGGGATTAAATAATTTTTCATTTGTTTTCAAACAGGTGAACTGCAGCCTTAATGTCCCTTGTGCATTTGACAGACCTTAAACCTAACAAACCAATCTTGTTTTCGTTCATCTCTGCTTTTTTTTTTTCTTTCACTGTATACTATGTTCTCAGTCTCTTGTACCCCCATACTAATTTATTTATTGTTTTCCATTCTTTTTGCATCTGTATGTACTTGCTGAGGCATGCCTTATTCTTTGCACATTTTCAACACAAATGCTATTTGTGCAATTCTTTGGTAAATGTTTTGGGTGTATCTTCAAGTCTTCAGCTTAAATATATCTGATGGTATATTTAATGAAGCTTTAATTCCATGTGCATCATTCAGTACAAGGAATGGTTGAGGCTGAAACCTCTTGTCTGCTGAACATAGACCAGTCCCTGATTAGTTAGACTGTGATTACTTGATTATATCTGAAATAGGTGAAAAAGGTTCTAGTTTATACTACCTTAAGAAAGGGAAGTTTAAAAAAAGGAACAAAGGATGGTTATCATACTCTTGTTATGTTATTTGTTCATGTGAATTCCAAACACTGCTTTTTTCACAATTCCAGCTCCGTTTTCACTTCATCATATCTTAACATCAAAATAAGGACTTTCTTTTATAAATTCTCATTCCACTTCAGATTTCAGTTGTACATTCTCAGGTAAGACATTTGGCTCTTTACTTTATGCCAGATATATTTTTTGCTTTGTGCCATTGTGCTCTCACTTTCATCTACCAATGTTCTAATAAACCAACTTTCCCTAATGTAAAATTTTCTAACCTAATTCTTTTGTAGTTTGCTTTTCTTTCAAATGTCATTTTGTTCAAATCCTCCCATTGCACTTGCTGGAGGTGCTGATATTTTTTCTTTTGAGAATCTTATTTACATTGATATAACTGTACAAAATTAGTTTACCATGTTTTAGAGGACCTTGAAGAAAAGAAAGTTAAGAGGTAGCTACAAAGGTAGGCAGAAGTGATGAAAGAATGCAAACGTACAAGAAAAAACTTGATGGATTAAAAACACTATATGCAGTGTTACATTTGTGAACAGAGTATGTTTTTTGTTTTATAATGTGAATATTGTATTACAGTGTTCATGTAGTATTACATAAGAACAGAATACTGTATAGGTATACACAAGAGGATGTATCGGATGTTTATGAAATCATATCACAAACTACTGTAAATATATAGTGGAAATGGGAACAAGACTACTACTTACTCCATTACCTACAAATAGGTGATTACAGTGTTTACTGATGGTTTTGCTGGTAGATTATTTACACACTATTCCATTCTGAGTGGTTGTTTTAAAAATAGAGTCTGCAAAGTTTTATTATGGTGCATACATTATGCATTCTCATATATAGCATTTTAGTCGCCTCTTACGACACGCATGGCTTATGGAGGAAGAATTCTGTTTCACTTCCCCATAGAAATATATATATATATATATATATGTGGATGTTATGAATGAGAAGAAACTGGATGTCCTGGCTTTAATCCTTTCAGGGTCCAAGGCCCAAATTTGGAGTCACGCACCAGTGTCCAAGAATTTTCAAAAAAAAAATTTGTTATTTTTTCTTATGAAATCGTAGAGAATCTTTTTGTGAAAATAAAAACAAAAAGTACGAAATTTGGTGGAAAATTGACGAAATTATGCTCTCGCGAATTTTGATGTGTCAGCGATATTTACGAATCGGCGATTTTGCCGACTTTGACTCCCATTTTAGGCCAATTACATTATTCCAATCAACCAAATTCTTAGCTATTTCACTAGTATTACTTCTATTCTATCGATTGAGCACAAGAAATCGCCAAGTCAACTGTTCAACTACAAAATAAAGTGATCGGAAATTGTTAATTTGGCCAATTTAACACAAAGTTCAAAATATTCCAATTTCAAAATAGGGTCCAGAATGAACAATGTAGGCATTCCTGGCACTAAACTAACATTCCTCTGTTCATTAGTTATGTTTTTGTGGCTTTACAAATAAATTCCATTTTGATTTTTTATTCACATAATGAATTTTTATTCACACCAAAAAATAGAAGATTTACTGTTATGTAATACTGTAATAATTGTATAAATATCATCACCATATTTGTGAATGTATATTAGACCCACCAGCTGACGTGTATTAGATGTGTGAGGTCGTTTGTTTACTCTTGAATATCGGCAAAAATTAACATTTCTGCTACTTTGAGCTCAGTTTCAAGCCATTTCCAGTGCTAAAACCAATCAAAATCATCTCTATTTCTGTAATATGTCTTCCATTCTATCAAATGAGACCAAGAAATCGCAAATACAACTATAAAAAACATACAAAAAAACACTGCAAAGTTGCTGTTTTAATCGAAAAATCATGATTTCATTTTTTCTCTCATTATACACAGTGTGCTGCAGGATCTGTTTTATGTGGTGCACACATACCACATAGATGTATTCTCTCATATCTAGGCCCAAATGTACCACTCACAGTTTATCAGAGTGAGCTGAGCTCATGGCGTAGATCTACGGTTTGGACCCTGAACGTAAAGCCGTAGATCTACGGGACGGACCCTGAAAGGGTTAAGTGGAACAAAGCTGAAGGGGGT